ACATGCACCTTATCTATTAAGGTATGCAATTTATCACATATATTACACATACATAACATATGCATGTATCCTCTTACGTTCATCATGTCTTTGCACATATATCATCCATGTATATTATTTTATCATGCATACCATTAAATATTCAAATATTAATCACATATAATTTTACCTCAACCCAGATTGTCTGAAATCGGGTTATAACATATTCCCAAAGCAAGGCAAAACTAAACCTTATCAACTAAACTTTATCCTTTCTTGGACCGTCTTGCATATACCTTTAAAAGTTTGGGCTTGGGTAAAACATCCAATTTAGGAGGATTCATAACACTCGGTGTACCTAGCACACAGTTAATCATAAAATTGGCATCTTAATGTTTAAATGAAATCTCTAAACAAATGAAATACCTTCTGCAGAGTCTTTGTAGATATTTTTTTGCTTAAAACTTACATCAGTTGCCAAATAAGTAGCCAAGAAGCTGTGACAACCACATCAACAGATTATGAAAAGAATTATTACGAGCTAGTGGAATTCTCATCAGCCCAACTGCCCTGGATTTAACAAGAATTTATTGGTTTATAAAAAACGAGAATTACCACTAGAGCTGCAAAAGAAATTATGATGGCAGATACTAGAACTCCATTGACTGCACCAATAAGCCGCTGACTACATCAAGATATAAGCCTTTCAGTCACTTCTGTTATGTGAAAACTGCCCCAAATATAAGTGTCACAAGAAGAGAAACTAGTTTATATAAACTTGGCAGAAAGAAAGCTGGAATTACGAAAAAGGATATCAAAAAGGGTGAACTTTTTGCATTTCTTTTGTAAATCCATCTTAAATATGTTTCTCTTAGCCATCTTCTGGGAACAAGGTCTCTTTGCACCAATGTCTTTTGCTTTCTCCTATTAGCTACCACTAGCATGGTCTCATATGATAATTTACATTATCATTACTCTATACGGATTCTAAAGCAATAACCAGTGCAGGAGGATTTTGTGCTATTTTCTAAAACCCAAATCCAAATATATAAAAATTTAAATTACAAAAACTATCAAATATGATTTATTGTAGCTGAATCTACACAGGTGGTAAAAAAAGGATAAAGATAAGGAAATAACCACCTTCCAAAGTAGCAAATGCTGCCGAAGATAAAAGAAAACAGGGATGCACATTCCCATCTGCATTCAAGTAGTACTTGTCAAGACCTAACAAAATATGGAACCTCTTTTACATGATTCACATCATAGAATATCACCAAACTATAAAGCCAAATGGGGAATCATGTTGCTAATTTATCTAGCATCATAAGAATGTAAATAAGAAAATCAAGTACAGCATCACATGCTCAGTCAATATGCATCAAGAATAGATTTAATAATTTAAGTATCAATTTGCAAGCATAGAGGAAACTAATAAACAGTTACAATAATTGTTGGACTCTTAAATTATACAAATTTATATATCATTAAAGACAGTTTAGGAGATGTCAGTGAAGAGAAAGCTAGAATTCTCAAAGAGGGTGATTAACTATTGAGAAACGATGTAATATATAGAGTAAATCATTGGCCATGGGCCAAGATATATAGATCTAATTGGAAAGATAGCGAACGTAAAGCAATCATAATGACTCATTTAGCCCTTATGTCACATTCCTCCAGTTGAGCACATGTGTCAAACATACCCAACTTGCCACGTATAGGACTAGTCTATTTCTATACATGGGGGTTCATGGAAAGTTCCAACTACTCATTGACTAACAAAATTGAAGACAACCTCAATATGTGTTGTTCTTTAATGAATATTTGGTTCTTAGAGATATGCACAGATGAGTGACAATGCTTTGCCATCAACCGGACCGTTTTGGGCGGTTTGAGTGGCCTGGCAGTCCGGTCCGATCTGAAACATAGTCAAACTGCTCGGTCTCTGCTCTGATATGCGGTTTGAATGTTTTTTTGAGCGCTAGAAATACGAATGTATTAATTATATTTAGTTTTCAAATTGTAGGCTTAACTTTTATAGGCTAATTTTAAAAAATTCATCAAAGACATTATGCTTTTAGTTTCCATTTCTCAACTATCCATGTTATCTAAATTGACAAAATCTCGAATCCGTCAAAAATCAAATCCAAAATTCTAAGTTGTCCTTCGACTTGCTCAATCTTGTCCAAATCTCCGACTTATTTAACTTTTTTTCAAATTCATCAATGTTTTTTGCTAATTTTAGAGATAGACATTTCTTTTAGAATTCGATATAGTATTGTTTTAATATTGTTATATTGGTAGAAATTTCCCTTTGGATGTTGATGTTATGTTTTTAGTTTAAAGCCCATAAGAGGCCCAAACCGCCTATACCGGTCAAACGAGACACCCTTTTTGTGGTCCGGTTTGACCGGTTTAGTCACTTGCTACCAAACAGCTAGGTTTGGAAAATTTCCTACGCAGTCATTGCGGTTTGGTTTGTGCTTTGGGGGTCAAAATGCCCAAATTGGACTGTGAACACCCCTACCCTTCATATATAGGACCCCACCACAAGTGTGGTTGTTCAAAAACGTCACATACACAAAGACGGATTCGTTTTGGCTGAGAAAGGTTTTGATTTAGGATGAGTTTTGGTGATTAGAATTGGAATTCCGGTTGAATTGTGTTGATTTGGTATGTTGGGTGTATCCAAATGTATATGTGTGTTATGGTGTGCAGTGGCCCGAAGATGGGAAAGAGGCCGGAGAAGATGATCGGAGATGGGAAAGCATCTGTAGAGAAGGGATGAGGTTTTTGTTTTTATCTCTTCCATTTTTTATAAAATGTTGTATATTGCTTGTAAAAAAGGGATCAGAGGTTGTACAAGAAAAAAAATTAACTAAAAGGGCAAAATGACTAAAATACCCTTGATTTTACGAAATAATTTTAGGTTCAGGGACCTTCTTCTCAAAAACATGAAACCATAGGAACGAAAATGTAATTAACTCTGGTTAATATGTTTTAACCATATGACGCCTCCCTTTGTTGTGAATATGATTTAACTCCATGTTAAAGACTTAAAGTCTTAGAAATGACACAGAGACCAAGATGATGATAAGGAAAATCATCTTAACCACGTTTGCATAGGTCATTTGTAACATGACTCAATATTTGGACTCAATACTTTTATTGTCCATGATAAGAGATCTACGCTAATGTACATTAGTAAGAGTTCTTGAGAGAAAATCGTTGTATTTCATATTGAATGATACAAAGAAAGAACTCATATGTATACTACAGGTTCCTACTTATTCTATGAAACTACATAAAAGTAAAAGATATACAAAATACTTACCGCTAATATTCAACACTCCCCCTGAAGCTAGTATACAAATTGTACATTCCAAGCTTGTCACAAATGTAATTAATCCTGGGACCTGCAAGAGACTTCGTAAATGTCTACTAGTTGATCATCTGACTTGATAAAACTAGTAGTAATTTCTCCAAATAGAACTTTCTCTCAAATAAAATGGCAATCAATCTCTACATGTTTGGTCCTTTCATGAAAGACACGATTTTGACGCAATATGGAAAGCTGCTTGATTATCATATCTTAGTTGCTTCTGTTTCAACTCCTTGAGAAACTGTTTCAACCATATAAGTTCACACACTACTTTGGGCATGGCTAGATATTCAGCATTTAGCAATTGAAAGAGATGCAACGAACAACTAGATTCAAGTGGTTGTCACACTGAGCATTTAGAAATTGGATAAGAACATTGAACAGAGGTGTCATCATGAGATAGTCGAGTTTGCCAATAAGTCTCTGACATTAAATTGGATCTGACAAGGGCTCCTGTGAACGCAGGAAGAAGCTTAAAATTTGGATCCATTGGACTGTCTATCGGTTCGCAATTGATCATGTCGGGTTTTTTCAAGACGTCCAAAGCAAACTCCTTTTCGAGATGAAGATACCCTAATGGAACTGTGTAACCTCTATTCCAGAAAAGTACTTGAGATTGACCAAATCTTTTGTCTTGAATTGATGGAATAGATGTTGCTTGAGTTTTTGTATACCCTCTTGGTCATCAAAGTAATAACCCTTAGCCACCAACTGATCTTTTATCCAGTTTATCTTTCCATAAGGATCAACTTTGATGGTGTAAACCCAAGGACAATCGACCTTCAACTTCCCCGGATGAAGAGAATCTAAGTCCTAATGTAAGGCATTCATCTCATCAACCATCGCCTGAAGCCAACCGAGATTTGCAAGGGCCTCTCCTACATCTTTAGGAGTGCAAACAGAGGACAAACGATACAAAAGCAGTATATGAAAGAGGTAAATAGTGGGAGCTTAAGAAATTATAGATTGGATAACGATTGTGAGTAGATAGTACCTTCCGTTCAGCTATAGGATGGTCCAAGTCATGAACCAAAACTAGAGGCTAGATCGTGGTATAAGGTGAGTCCGATAGGCCAGCAGCTTCATCTATAGGTACCATTGTGGTCTCATCCATCTTAGGGATATGCTCGGGTAGATGTTCAAGAGTAGAACTCACGTGGGGGCGATGAAGGTTAGTGTACAACGGTGGCGGCAAGTTTGAATACAAGGTTAAAGGTCGGTGGATTCTATGGAGTAGGATCACTACATGGAACACGAGTAGAATCAACAGGACACTCAACATTGTTGGTAGGACAAAAGAAGAGGGTTGTTTCAGAAAAGTTAGTATCGGTGCAAACAAAGTATCGTCCAAGATCAGGATAAAAGCAACGATAACCTTTTTGTAAACAAGAATAACCCAAAAGGACACATTTGAGAGATTTTGCTAGTAGTTGGTCTTTTCCTGGTGTGAGCTCGTGAACAAAGCATGTGCAACAAAAGATATATGGATGAAGAGGATAAAGTAGTAAGATAGGGGATAATAAAAAATGAGGAACCTGATTTTGTAATACTGACGAAGGCATGCAGTTAATCAAGAAGCATGTTGTGAGACCATCTCCTATAAAACGCAGTAGGACATGAGTGCGAAGGAGAGTGTGTTTTTTCAATCAAGTGCCTAATTTTCCTTCAGCCACGCCATTTTGTTGAGAGTTAATGAGTGCAAGGGTTTAGCCTAGCAAATGCCTGTAACCTTAGCTTTTGAGCCATCAGAACAGTTGACAATGTATTAGAGTATGTAATGCATGAGAACATGAGTGTGAAGGAGAGTATGTGTTGTTTCAATCAAGTGCCTGATTTTTCGTTCAGCCACGCCATTTTGTCGAGAGTTAATGAGTGCAAGGGTTTAGCCTGGCAAATGCTTGTAACCTTAGTTTTTGAGCCATCAGAACAATTGACAATGTATTAGAGTATGTAATGCATGAGAACAAACTTTTTTTACCTGATATATGATCTAGAAGCACCAAAATCAAGAACCATGGCGCAATCGGCGACGATTGAGATATGCAAACAATGGAAGAACAGGTCTCACTATTTGGCTTGACGGGTGATGGTTGTTTATTTTCCCATTGTTTCATAAGCTCTTCATGGAGATAAATACATTGCCTAGAGAAGCCCCACGAGACTAGTCGTATTGTGTAATATTAGCTACCTTAGGTGGCTTAAGTTGAAAACCTCGATCGACAGTATGACCAATCTTATTGCAATTAGTATCAAGATGATTCTGGTTCCCACAAGCTCTGATGCCCCCTTCCTTACAGGCAGCAGGAATAACATAATCAACTTGGGTAGTAGTGGAGCTGATGGTGATGTTAGTTGATGCTAAAATACGAACTAACTGCTCAAACACACTATCAATGCTTAGAGTTCTAAGAGTAGCTAAGAACAATAAAGAATTTTCCAAGATGTTCTTCGTGCAATTCAACATTGTTAGAGAATGACGTCATCTCATTGAACACTTGTCCAATAGTCTCCATGTTTCCAAGATAAGTTTGTATATATTGTTCTTGTTGCATGATCTTCATGTTAGAAACTACTATATCTTAGCCCAATAATTTTTCATCAGACAGAATAAGAGAGGAAGAAAATTAAACAAATCCCAGGTGGATTGTTTGTCCGTTGCTGCCATCAGTTAAGAGAAGAAAGATTAAAAACTGAAATCAGTAGATGGACACCACAGTCGTGATCGGAAAAGAGAGAAGAGGCCATACGACAGCAGCTACACCACAGACCAGGTCGGATTAGGGAAATGAGGCCGGAAGATAACAGCAATATCTCCATCAATGCATCGTCACGAACCACTTACAGCGGTGGTGCCTGGGATCCACACCCGCAGAGGAGCGGTGGGGTGAGTGCATTGGCTCTGATGGTTTTTCCTGGTCCGAGGATTACATGGCGGCTAGGGTTTCTACAAAGGTAAAAGACACAACTAGGGTTTGGGGCTGGTAGGAAACACAGATTGGATTTGGGTTCAAAGTAAATCATCATAAACCTCGCTTTTTCAGCTTATATGCCATGGGAAGGTTACAGTTTTAAAGCTGCAGTACTCATTAGTGGGCGCTTAATATATGAAGATATTTATACTTCTTTTCATGAAAACATGACTAAATTGCTCCTAGTTACTCCTTTGATACCATGTGAAAGGATTTTCGAGAAAATCTCTTGTATTTCATATTGAATGATACGAAGATAAAACCCATATTTATACTAAAGGTAAAGATATACACAATATCTACAGCTAATATTCAACATATAAGTGCATTTAAATGCCTAATTACTGTAGATGATCATGCCTACTCACATCCTCTGTGAGGTGAAGATTCCTAAACCAGTAATTGTAATACTCATCTATCATTGGTTCAATTTTATGGCACCATAAAGCAGAGAAGATGCAGCAAAGGATCAGATGAGGTAGTATTTGCTAAGATCTAAAAATGAGTCCCTTTGTATGTATTCCTTTTTCATTGTCATGATATTGACAGCTTTGCAAACAAATATGCTTTAGAATTATATCTCTTGGAATTTGCTAGGGTCTTCATGTCTCGAAACCTATTTTGTCACGGCAGTCAAAATTCAAAATTGCAGTCACAATTGTGATTTGGTATAGCGGTTATCGCGATTGTAAAGTGGTGCGTATGATAATTAGAAGTATATATACACATATTGAACTTAATATAGTATATGTATTCGACAAAAATATACAATTTAGACAACTTAAACAAGTCAAGTTTCACATAAACGAAGATTGTATATAATTCAAGAACCTGTTGACAGTAGTAGATTCGAAAGGCTGGGGGGAAGGTTGAGTCTTTAGTAGGTTTGGGATACGGTTTGATAAGGCATAGGGAGATTCTTTAGTTTGTTCTGTGTGATGTTTAGCTAAATGGACTATTCACATTCTTTTCTAATTATGTCTTAGAAGACAACTTTTTTGCAAATTTTTCCTTATCATTATGCTCTCTAATATTTTTGTTTCACGAAATCTTTTTCGCGATATGGATCTCGTCTCGGAAGCAACCTCCGTCGTTTGAGAGGGCAAAATGGTTTGCATATATCTTCCCCCCACCCCAACCAACCCTACTCCCGAGTGGGATATACAGGGTTTGTTTGGTTTGGTTTTAATAGCATTTTCCTTGCTTCTAATAAAAGAGCACCTCATGAAGAGCCTTCTTGTCACCGTTATATCACAAAAATAGAGTATGGGCATTGTGCTCATTTTGCTAGTTCATTTACTCTCTGACGAATAAAATTATGTATATTCCTTCAGCCCTGCTTCTCGACTTGGAGCATAGATATGTAGATTGTAGTGTTAGATAATGAAAGATATTATGTTTAACAAATGAGAAAACACACAAGGTTCGAGTTTCAAAAAATATCAAGTTCATGCTACGAAGGTAAACAAGATTGCGCATCAGATTTAAAATAACATAGATATAGGAAAGTGAACTTTGAGACTAGGAATAAGTATGTCGATACAAGATTTCCACATACAACAACCTTTTACACTTCATAAATATTCATTTAAAGAAATCTAATATAACTTATCAAGCTTTATTACCAATAATTCAAAAACACCAGGTTAGAAGTTGGTGATGATATTCAGTGGCATGTAACAAGTCAATGAAGAGTAGTGGCATATAGATGACGCCAAAACAAAACAGTCATCAAGCCAATATGCATAAATTAATGCACATGGTGTTGTTCAAACTACATGCTGATAACTATTATATATATAGGGAAGGGTTCAAACGAGAACACCTTCATTTTACGAGAACGTGAACGCACCAGGTCCCTCACGTGTATTGTCACATGTGATAAGGGTGTTCTTGCGTTTTCGCAAAATGAAGGTGTTCTCGTTTGAACCTCCACCTATATGTGTGTGTGTGTGTGTGATAATTTATAAGATCAAACATTAGATGCTTGCAAAATTGTTTACAAGAAATTAAATCATACATTGGAATGCCAAAGATATTAGTCAAGATGTCCGATGAACGAGCCACGTAGGCAACAAGGAGGGCATAATGTATAAATATATATGACCAGCTGCAAAAAGAGAAAGGGATTGTTACTAGATGAAAAGGTCTACCATTTAAAAGATACATGAAAAAGCTACAGAATAAAAGTTCAGGAAAACAAGCTTAATACAAGTATTTGATGCAAATTTAGATCATATGGATTAACAGATGTAATTACCTAGAGTTAGTTTAAATGATAAGGATATCAGGCGATGGTTTTCCAGTTTGATGTTTAAGGTTTCCATTTCATGTAACCTATATATATTTAGGTGAATCAAAACCTAGATCAAAAGCGTAGCTCATTAGAACCCAGAAACCCAATTTGACACATAATTCAATCTAGCTACAATGAGCTCATCCTTGTTTGGGTAAAAAAAATATAACCTCGACCATCGAGGATATTCCCTTCGATCGAGATAAACGCGATCGGCAAAGAATCCTCGACCTATGATCGGAAATGATCCACGATCAAGGAATGCACGATTTATATTATCTACTAACCCGGCGGCCGTTACATTTGATATTTATTGCAAATTGCAATGAATAAAGATCCACTCCATCAATACAGCAAAAGTAACTGACGATCAATAATTAAGGATATGATCAATGACACGACCGTTATGCCATAAAAACTCATCAAAGAATAGCCGTTATAATTCTCCCCAAAAGTCACTATGAAAAGACTATTATTGGCAGAGAGGGACAAGTTTTCGAAGACTCATCGCATGAAACAAAACCTTACAGAAAATTTGCCTTAAGACCATGTTAGACAAACACAGGGGACAAGGTTGAAAATAGCACACTTTTGTTTTTAAATATACAGATTTTATCACAAGGTATATTCAACACTTGAACAATGTATATTGCGGTATGAAAAGTTAAGGAAGAGAAATCAAACTATGATGTTTAGAGTGGTTAACCAAGTTGGCTACACTTTTTAGCACGCCGATCCACTATAAGTGTTCTATGTGGTAGAACACAAACCTTGGTACAATATATGATGTTCTTCTCTTGGCATAAGCTCGAGGAAAGTGTGGATCACTCACACATATGAAATACTCACAAGATTTAGGATAATAAATGGTGACACTCTTGTGCTATCAATGTAATCCTTTGATGATTGAATGCAAGATCAAAGTGACTTTGAAGGCTTTGAATGGTTGTATTTATTGCTCAACAACAAAAGTGAGCAATAAAAGATAGAACATATTTCAAGTGTTCAATAGTTATTTTGAAAGTGGGAGAAAAGCTTCGGATTTAAACACAAATTTAAAAATTCAGTATACTTTTAATTCTTAGCAGAAAAAAAAAAGTTTTTTTTTAAATCTTGTTTCTTTCATTCTTGTATTGGATTTCACCAAATGAAAATGAATGATTTAATACAATTATATTATTACTTCTATAACTCTAAAAAATATTTCTAAATGATGAAAATCATCACTGATGATAATTTTGTTGATATGTTTACCAAATCGTTCCCGCCAGCTAAATTCGAGCATTGCTCGGATTTGATCTAGCTTAGATTGTGTTAGTGTCATTTGGCACTTTGCAGGAGAGATGAGAATATTACGACATACGACATAGCGACATCTTGGGGGAGTTATTACTTGGTACCTTTTTTGGGTTGCTTAACTTGTTTGTTATATTGAGATTGCGCACTTGAGGATTTTTGTTTTTGTTTTGACAGGTGATGCCCGAGTAAAAGCTCGTCACAATAAAAAAAATTGTTACCTCGTGCTATCTTTTATCAGCTATTGTTCGTGTTTGGATTGGTTTGTGTATTGGTTTTGCTGGGTGATTTGCACATCATGGATGTTGTAGAACTCACCATATGGAAGGTACAAGTCGCTGAAGCATTGTGGCTGAAAAAGTCGAGCCACGTTGTAGGAAACATGGGCCCACGATCCTGAGCAGCATCGCACAGCGCTATAAAGAAGACGCCTAAGGTTCCGGGCGATGTTCAAGCGGCATGAGCCACGGCACATAGAGCAGGAAAGTTCCAGGAGGCATAGGCCGCAAAGCAACAAGCCGCGTCGCACGCTGTCCTAGTGAAGACACCATAGCGCCACGTTTCAGGTGACACAAAACGCATACGCATGCCGGGCATAGCCGTCCTCAGTGGTGCCCTCACATCCAGCGTGGCGACCAGCCCAGCGACTTAGCTCGCACTGAGATAAACTTGGTAATTGTGTTTGTGTATACCGATTACAATCAGAGATATATATAAGAGATACATTTACACTCTAGACCCTCTAATATAATTATATATATATATATATATATCACAATTGTCTAATATTCCCCCGCAAGCTAAGGCCGGGGAGCGACCTGTAGCTTGGACAGTAATAGGAGAAACCGTTGTGAAGGTAGCGGCTTGGTAAACACGTCTGCAATCTGATCATCTGTAGATATAAACTGAACTGAAAGCTTCCGTTGCCCAACCATTTCTTGAACAAAGTGAAAGTCAACTTCTACATGTATGGTACGGGCATGAAAGACAGGATTAGCTGAAATATACGTAGCACCAAGATTATCACACCATAAGGTAGGAACCGACTTCACAGGAACCCGGAGTTYGCGCRGTAGTGTTTGAAGYCATGTGAGCTYAGCAACAGTATCGGCTAGAGCTTTGTATTCAGACTCTGTTGATGATCGAGAGACAGTCCTTTGTTTTCGTGCAGACCATGATACTAGGTTTGAACCAAGATAGATAGCATATCCCCCAGTGGATCRAYGGTCGTCAGGGSWACYARCCCAGTCAGCATYGGAGAAGCCAGTYAGGGAGTTGTAAGCAGAATCAGTGTAGGCATGAAGGATTGTGCCTGAATCATGCATGATTCGTAAACCATAGTCAGCAGTGCCTTGCAAGTAACGAAGAATTCGTTTGACTGCCGTCCAATGATTTTCAGTGGGGGACTGCATAAATTGGCAGACTTTGTTGACCGCGAAAGTAATATCCGGACAAGACAATGTCACATACTGAAGGGCACCCACAATTTGGCGGTACTTGACCGGATCAGCAAACGTAACGCTATCACCAAGAGCAAGATTAGCATTAGTGGTCATAGGAGATGAAGTCGGTTTAGCATTAGACAGGCCTACGCGTTGCAAGAGTTCAAGGATGTATTTCCRTTGTGATAGAATCATATCATGACCCTGACTGGTCACTTCAATACCGAGAAAATAGGACAAGCGACCCATATCCTGAAAAGCAAAAGATTGGCTAAGACGTTGTACCACTTTGTCAATAGCCTCCGGGTTGTTTCCTGTCAAAAGAATGTCATCAACATAGACTAGCATGTACAAAATGGTGCCCCTGTGGGAGTAAATGAACAAGGAAGGGTCCGTTTTAGAGCCCTGAAAGCCAAGAGAATGAAGGACCATAGAAAGTAGATGAAACCACGCTCTAGGGGCCTGCTTTAATCCATATAAGGATTTGTGAAGTAGGCAAACATGATCGGGTTTGTCCGGGTCAACGAACCCTGGTGGTTGTTGCAAATAAACTGTCTCGTTGAGATCACCATGTAGGAAGACATTTTTCACATCAAGTTGCCTTAGAGACCATTTCTGTGTTGCGGCCAGAGATAGAACAACACGTATGGTGGTCGATTTGACCACGGGACTGAACGTCTCCTGATAATCAATG